TTTTTTTTCTCCTTCCTTCCTTCCCTCCCTCCTTCCTCTCCCTTTCTTCCTGCATACCTACCTACTTACCTTTCTTGCTTCCTCTCTCCCTCCCTCCCTCCCATCCTTTCCTTCCTTAATTCCTTGGTAAATGACTTACTATTATCGATGACTGTTTATCGGTGTAACTACTCCATGTATTGCCCTCCTGACTGTAACGAATCGTATAGGACTCGACCCACTTGTCAACAGTCTTATCACCCTGAGTCGCTATACCAGTCAGTGTTCTCACCCTCCCAAGATCGACTTCTAGATATTGACCGTTGGCTTGCGTTGAGCTGCACCAGGAGTGTTCACCGAAGAGACGACCATATGACGCAGAATGGTCGCTATCAAGGCGAGATGATGACGTCATTTGAGAATCCTCGACCCCGCGGTTTCCAATTTCAAAGGCTTGCGAACAATCTATAAAAGAAATTTGCAATAATGTCCCTTCTTTTATAATGAATGTAGTGGTAGTGCGTGTGGAGCGAACCTCACGGAAGAGCCCAGGGGAGTGATTGTTGTAGAAATATAAGGAGGGATGGAGGGATGGAGGGAGGGAAGGAGGGAGGGAAGGAAGGAATGGAAGGAAGGAATGCAGGGAAGGAAGGAAGTAGGGAGGAAAGGAAGAAAAGAAGGAAAAGAAGGGTAGGAAGAAAGGAAAAAGTAAGGGAGTAAAGAAGGGAGAGAAAGTAAGGGCGGGAAAGAGCAGAAGGAATAAAAGTCTAATGACTACCTTCTGGTGTCCCATATATTTCCACACGAACACTCTTGTGCCCACTGTACGCTGTTGGTTGCAGTCTCACAAATCTCGCTTTGACTAATACATTGTTTTTGACCACTGACGATGAGTCGCTATTTCCAGTAAATACCTGGAAAAAAACAAAAGAGGTTACCGTACTATACCCCTATACGTATTGAGAATTGTATTAATTTTAGAGGTGTTTCCTCGTACCTTAGTTGTATTGCTTTGGTCTTTGTAAATATCCCAATTAGCGTTATCCTGTGAAAAGTGCAACTTATACCGTGTAACCCATTCTGATACCGATACAGCAGCTCTTGTTCCTACTGCACATATTTCGTACAACCTTCCTAGGTCAATCTGAAGGTAGTCGTTGGCGTCTGAATTACTAAGCACTCCCCAGGCTTTGGGACTGTTGAACCGTGCATTCTTTGCGGCGTAACGATCGTCAAATTTTGAAGTTGCGGTGAAGACATAGTCTGGGAAGCGGACTCTGTTGTTGAGAGTTACAGCAATATCCTGGCATCCTGTTAAAAGAATATGTGTAAAACACCCAAATCGATAAATAAATTTTGTAAATCGTTAAAATCGACAAAGAAAACAGTGTGACTCCTACCTTGTAAGAGTATTTACAAATATCAACGACATTACATACCACTGGGGAATTAAATAGGAAAACAAAGACGCGCGCGAAAAAAAATTTTCTAGTGCATTTTTTATTGATATTTTTACTCTTTCGCATTACGGAGGACATTTTCTTGACCTTGAATTGAAAGAGTAATTAATTATTTAATTTTTCCGATCTTATTTTCACCATCACTTTATCTAAATTGAGCTCCCTGTGGCAAAATCGGTATCGTATTTTGTTATCGATTGACTAGATTAAAACTGAATGGACTGGAAAGGTTGCCAAATAAGGATCGTCTGATATCAGATAGTTTATTTCAAAGCATGTGAACAGGCGGTTGTATACAGGTATTTTTGAAAGGTTCTCTTGTAAATTCTGAAATTCAACTTTTGCGCGTAAATTATTAAAAAATGTCAATCTAAAATTTTCATGTCGAATATGCAGGGAGAAATAGTCCCCTTCACAGTTCCCTGCGCCATCTTGAAAGGTAGCCGTTCCTTTGCATCGAAGCGAGACGAACGGTGAGCTTACAATGATAGAGACATGTGAATAATTGTCCAAGGTGTTAAAAAAAGGTCTCTATCATTGCAAGCTCACCGTTTGTCTCGCTTCGATGCAAAGGAACGGCTACTTTTCAAGATGGCGCAGGGAATTGTAAAGGGGACCATTGCTCGATCGTTCAAGACATAGGATCATGACTAAAGAAACCGACGCGAGATCGGAGTGATTGAAATTTTGGAGTTGTTTGTGTTGGTAGAAAAACCCGGAAAAATGACAAAACAAGAGAGTCTTTCAGCAGCCAGTTATAACCAATCTAAGCCAACATGGTTTATGTTTTCTAGCCAATACAGAACCCATATTGATAGCAGTTTTTTGCAATTGAAATGGCCATTGTGTCAAAATGTTATAATAATAATAATAATAATAATAATAATAATAATAAAATAATAATAATAATAATTATTATTATTATTCCTTTATTGCACAGCAAAATAAGAATATTACAACTCTTTTGCTGGTATACATTAACCTTCAGCTCGAGATTCTACCGGGCTCCTGAAAGCTGGAATACTCTTCTTAAGATGTGTGCCGTGCATAAAAGTACAGATTTATTATTATTATTATTATTGTTGTTGTTATTATTATTATTACTATTAATAGACAGAACGTTTTCTACTTCTGACTTTAAAAAAATTCAACATACATATCAATGCTCTATTGGGTCTATTCAGTATGCAGTCAATCGGCGCCAGTCCGTGCTGAAAACGCCGTCTAATTACTGTCCTATAAATGTGTTGTTGTTTCACTTTCTCGGCCATGTCAGCAGATCTTCTTGAATAGACTTCTGTTTTGATAACGTTATTGATGTCTTGCGTAATATTGAAAAGAGAAGCGCTAGTGCTTGAATAAAACTCGTCTTGACACACTCAGACAAGTTTATCATGGGTACCATTCAGTACCATGCAGGAATCGGAAGAGAAGAGGAGAGAGGAGAATGCATATAGGAAAGTAAATAAAAGAATACGTAAGGACAAAACAAGAGACAAACAGAAAGGAGATTTTAGCTAATAATAAACTTTTTTTGACACAGAAATCCTTCAGTAATGACTGATTTACAAAGATGCTGTTGGTATTTCACCGATAAATCAGCRTGTACGATACTAAAAGCGCCTGCGTAGGAGACTAGAGTGGACCGAGGAGAGCAAATAAAATCATCGAATTTACCGACATTGACTTTGTCATTAAAAATTTCAAAAAATTATAAGAATATTTAGAATTAATAACAGTGTTCTAAGGGTTTTAATTCTATAGTGATCCGAAAAAATGTGAACCTTTATTTTATGAGCAATGCAATTGAAATTTCCTTACTCTTCATATTTCAAGTATCATGCCGAGATATGTAATCAGCAGGAGACTTGGTATGACAAGTTTGTATCCCTCATTTTGGTATTAAAAATGTATCAAGCTATTTGATCCGCAGAAATAAGCTTTAGTTTGACTAAAGAGCCGAGGGTAACAGAGAGATCTATGTTGATATTCAAGTTGTTTATAAAAAGTATGCCTTGAATCTGGAGAACTGAGACGAGATTAACCTTTTGTGTACGCGATATGTGGGGAAATATTAACCAGATTTTATATAAATATCAAAATGACACAGAAATCTCCGAAATGTTGTTTAGTTTTATAATACCTTGTTGATTAAGGAAGGGAAGGTTACTACTTTGAAACTCAAGTAAAACTCTTGTGGAGCTCTAGTCTTAGGGAAAGAATAGTGCAGCAGAGGTTTGTTTGCAACTGCTTTCATATTTCGTGACATCCAATGCTATGTACGACCATAATCATTCTAATTCGGAATCGAATTATATAGTAATTGTGCTACAAAAAAAAAATCATTTTTGAGACAAATAGACAAGTGATGCAGTAGTGGTGATGCAGATGTAAGATCTCTTGGCTTGAGTACCTATTTTAATGACAATATGCAAATATGCAGCAGCGCCACCATCATCGCATCGCTTTTGGCGGATGTCCGAAGATGTGTTGACCTGCTGTCTGCGATATTATTTACTGTTTAAAAAAACTTTGTTACCTGGGTATACCGGAGCGTAGAGAAGAGAGAAGACCAGTAGAAGGTAGAGCCATGGCGGTGGATCCATTATTAATCAATAGGACTTCATAATGTAGAAGTAAACCTGAAGATTTTTAATGTTGGTTTGAAATACAATGATTGATGTTTAGGTATCATGTGACAGCACAAACATAGCGACAGCTCGTGTCGAAACAAGTTTTGAACGTTATCAATCAGATATCAACTTTTTTTGATTACATACAGTGAAATCATTGTCAATAGTAGTTTCGGCTGCGGGAAGGGAGGGTACGCAGAATTTTAATTTTTTAATCACCTAAAAAAATTCGACACAGGTAAGCTATGATACTTAGTCGAAAAGTTTGGACTGGAAACAGGATGTGTTTCTTAAAATAATAGATGACCTAATAAAAAGCTTTTTTATCGATTAGGTCAAATCGTTCTTGCATTTTACGCTCAAGGTTAGATGTTTAGGAGGATGGGGTCTGAGTGTTGTACTGACTATGAACGGGGATTTCTTAACCGAAAGAACAGCTTAGTATTAAACTGTGGTTTTGATTTGAAACCATATGTAGTGAACACACTGTTACTGACCTTTTGTTTTTGACTGGCAGTCTTGATAAAATCCACCAATGCCTTGCATACGCAAGAATTGATATTAGGCTATCATAATGCTGAAAAATCTACTTCCGGCCGGTTCTGTGGCGTGCATCTTTCCACGTGGATGAAAGGAGGAAGCAACCAAAACCAAGTCTTTTGTTCAAGTGACGGCTACGACGTCACATGCACAAGGACGAAAGACATGGTCGCCATGTTGGTTGACATGACAAATGAAACCAAGACCAAATCTTTTGTTCAAGTCAATCAACATGGCGGCTACGACGTCGCATGCGCAAGGATAAAATTAAGGAAAGGCCGCTATTTAACAAATTGACATCAGAGTTTTACATGTTTGTCTTCTTATTGACGATAAAATGCGTCGCCTCGTGGATCCGCATACTATTTTGACGTGGTGGCGAAATTTATTATCAATAAAAGGACAAACACATAAAAATCTGGTCAATTTGTCTTGTTTCTTACAATAAAGAAAACAAGAGAAAAAAAACTCAGAAAAAAACTTTTGAGTCCCAGCATAAAGTTATTCTTAGTTACTTTTTGGGTTACGTTTCCTTTCAAATCAGCGCTACGAACTGTCATTAGAGGTTTCTGATCCCCTGCTGTGAATTCATGAAGATCTTATTATTTCCTTTCATGCTTGGTTTGAGAATAGCACAGCTGATAACATGAAGGCTGCTGAAACACATATGCGGACCCAATTATCTGTTTACTTGCTTAGGTATTGGGCATGCGCATTAACTTTGTTGCTGACCGAAACGTTTGCTGGCTCTAAGTCAAGGACGATAAAATTCACCTTTTCGGCGCTAGCTTGGATTGTGTTACGGTCACCAAAAAGTTCGGACATTGTTCTCGGATTCCCATAGTGAGCCTAGTCTGAAATTGACCTCCTCGGCTCTGGCGTATTGTTGTCCCATTTCAGACGTGTCATTTCCTAGAGTATCATTTCTTTGTTTAAGGTTTGCACTCGGTTGCACATGASAAGACACATGAACATGGCTACAACTCAAACAAAGAATATTATTCTCAAGGGAATGACATGAAAAGGGGCAACATTACGATCGAGTGCTCCAGAGCCGAGGAGGTCTATTTAGTCAGTCCGCAATGTTTTTTCCCCAGTGTTTTTCTTTTGTTTCCTATCTTTATTGAAGTTTTAGTCGACCAAAATTAATCCTTGTCATTTCTGTATTTTTAAGAAAAACAATAACAAGACAAGGCACACGTTTGTTTAATCTTCTTCAATTAAAATTCATAATATCAACACTACTTGCCGAAATATTCATTAAATTGTCGTCGAATGTAGTTTGGAAATGAAAATCTGTCTGAATTTTAGTCTGGCTTGACATACCACGACTCCCCATTTTTATTAAATTTCAATTTCAATTTAAGTGACTAAGAATGGGCCTTTCACATGAAGCCGGGCAGGATGACAATACTGCTAGGGCCAACTTTTTAGGTACTGGTGTCCTTTTGGGAAGGAAAACAAAATGCTTGTCTCTAGCACAAGGACCACCCTACCGTATCCTAACTCTTTGTTTTTGGTGTTCCTAGGGAATAAAAGAACACTTTGCAGATCAGGGTCACCTTACCTGAAATGGAAAAACATTAYGCCCAAGCTAAAAAAAAGTCTATTGGGCTGCACAACTAACTAATTTTCAGTACAACTTCTTTTACACTGCATTTGAATAGGAGGTTGATTTCCACTACCATAATGCTTCGCAAATTTTCTTTCTTATTCTAATTTGTGTTCCCTCATGTGGTTAGCTAATTGACTGAACAAAAGAATGTGTGCAAGGGAGTCTGGTGGTAGAGGTCAATGACGCCATGGCATGCAAATATTCTATTTACAGGTGATATCCCGTAAGACTCCAAGCACAGCAATCTTAATTTCTTCGTTCCTAACACAGTAAATAAATGGATTGATGAAAGAGCTCGCAGCGAAAAGGACTTCACCAAACTGGAAAAGACAAATTGTTTGTGGTGTGAAGCCATCATAAAGAACGTAAGAAAGTGCTCCCGATAGGTAAGGTAAATAACATACCAAAGAGACCCCGATCACATAAGCCATTGTAACAGCTAGTTTTCTCTGTCTCGCGTTATTGCTGTCGCCAATCGTTTGAGCATGTATCTGGTGTTGGTGACGACGAACGAGCTTGAAGATTCTAAAATACGTGAAGAATATGATTACCGTTCCAACACCGATACAGACAACTCCACACGTCAAGACTAAATTTGCGAAACTTAGAAGGAATAGGAGAGCCGCTGTTAAAGCTATGAACCAAGGATAAACTAAGCAAAAGAGGATCTTTTCGGTGGACAAAATCGACAAATATCTGAGAGAGTAGAACAACGCTATGTACCTCTCATAGCAAATCGTTAAAATGATGTTAAAAGACGCCGTCTCGACTAGCCATCCCATGAAGCATTTCACCTGGTATAACATGCAGTCCTGGACGAACCATGGCGTTGTTGACCAGGCAGCATATAGGGGAAGATAGAGTATCCCTACGAGAAAATCCGCAAATGCCAGTGAAGAAATGAAAATATTTGGTGTACTTTTACGGAGCGCCGAGGTTCGAATTATCGCAGTCAGGACGAGAAGATTTGAAAGAGTGTTTAAAGGAGCTAAGATGGCTGCCAAGACGGCCAAAAAAAGAATTGTTTCTGAATAAGTATCAACGTAAGGCAAAAAGCTTCCTCCAAAGAACTGTTTTTCAAAGGAGCAAATGTGAGATTCAGGCGACGAAAAAATGGTAGCTGTTTCATTCATCTTCATCGTTCATCTTCTGTTCACCGCTGAGGAGCCGATGTCAGGTTGCTTGCCGTTGTGTTGGTTCTGAACAAATAATCGTGTATGCGATCTAAATTAAGTATTTCGTTTTCAATATGTTCGTTTGTATTCATTATTTTATTACTGATCTAGTTTAATTAAAAAAGAGCCACTCTCTTTTCTATCACAAACTCAATATTCTTGGACTAGATCGATCGTCCCAATTTCAAGATCCTTTTATTATTTCTTGAATGGGAATCAACTCTTGATTTTCACCAATAGGAACGCACCACGTGCGTCATTTTCCTCGTGAAATTTCAAGGTAGTCGAAAATTTTCAGCGAATGGGTAAAAAAGTAAACAGCGGTTATGTCTTCGGTTGGAAAATTGCAATTGAAAGGGAAATCTTTAAATATCATATGTCAATAAGAATTGTGTTAGAACTTTAAGTAGCATTGTTATATAACAAAGAAAGATTTAACAGATGGACCAAAATATAGTGCTAACTTGTTTACATTGTGAAAAGTCATCCTTTTTCAGTTCTTAGTAAAAATCACTTCAAATAGAAGAAACTAAAAGAAAGATGAGTGATACTCTTATACCGGCTGTCTTTAAAGAAAGTCTTTGAATCACTTTCTACAGACAGGTGCATTTGTTCTTCATGTCTCTAAATAACTGCACMACAGCACCTCGGATTTCTTGGTTTCTAAAGCAATAGATCAATGGATTCAGCAAAGAACTCAACGAAATTGTAATATTAAAAAAAAAGTCCTCTGTAATTTTCATAATTCTCAAAATTATTGTAACGCTGAATGAATGTGCTAAATTGGTTTTTTTTTTTTTTTAATTCTAATTTTAATTTTTTTATTCTAATTTAAAAATACCAGTATATATATTTTTATGTGTGTTACTTATATAGAGGATATTACATGGGCGCGCGGAGATATGAATTTTATCTTCGAGTGTTGAAAAGATCTCTCACGAGTGAGCGCAGCGAACGAGTGAGAGATTTTCAACACGAGAAGATAAATTGCGTATCTTCAAGCGCCCATGTAATATTCTGTTTATTATATAATTATCAATGAAGTATGTTTTGGCTTTTTCAGGCAATTCTTTCCGTGTATTTTTGAATAGCCATMGCAATGGTGTTATTTTCACACGTGAAAATAACATGTTATTTTCACGTGTGAAGATATCAATTTTTCAAAATAGAGAAAAATWGATATTTCATTGGTAATTATATAATAAAGCTGTATATTGTAACTATAATTCTCTCTCTTTCCTTCTACATACACATCAACGTTTGGAAAAAGAACCTTCGCTTTGGCTGCACCGGCACTCTGGAACAATCTCCCTGATGCAATTAAGTACTCAAGTTCAGTTCCAGAGTTTAAATCTGCACTAAAACACTACCTGTTCACCAGGAGTAACTGACTTTTTTTGCAATTTTTTCAACAAACTTGATTTCCGTCTGGTCCTTTTGTAAAAAGCATCGAGACGTTGTATCATTATATCTTATTGCTTTTTAATAAGGATTTATWTGAAAGAAAAATAAATAAATATAACAGGAATTGAAATGAAACGCAAGTGAAAAAAATGGCAATAACAAATTAGACAGATCCGTCGTTTCTTATGGAAGTATAGCCCATGAGGACATGCAAGAGAACTAAATTGTTATAGTCAAATCCAGCTAGTCGGTCGAAAATATAGATGCAAATTTAATGTTTTGATCTTCGAAACAGGCACTTTTCGCTTCTATAGTAGGCTATAACTTATAGCCTAGCAGTAACTCATCCAATCAGAACGGAGCATTGATGATAGACACTAGTTGGATTTGACTAATGCAGTTTATCATATTACACTAAAATGTGCGGCAATCGATTTTAGATACTGCTATTAGCAGCTTGAAAAATAATTTCTAATTTTAGTTTTAGATTTTAAGGGTGTTCTTAGAGTTTGGTGATGTTATATTTAAAGCATTATTTCGTATTTAATTCTAGATCATATATAATATATGTCTAATAGCTCCTTTAACTATTTCTATATTGGTTTATCATCATCATCATTATCATCGTCATCGTCATGCATTATCATTATCATCATTGTCATCAACATCATCATCATCATCGATTCATCATCATGCATCATAATTATACATGATCGTCATCGTCATCATGCATCATGCTAGTGGATACAGTAAAAACCCGCGAGTAAGAACCTGAAAATTAAGAACCTGTTAGCCTCAAATTTGTCACTTATAACCCCTTTAAACAAGAACCTATTTATCCTAGAAAATGAAAAACAGGTTCTTATTTTCAAAACCCATCATTTAGTGATGCAGAGCTGGGTTAGAATCCTGTTTGGAAAAATAGGAGCTTGCCATTGCTGTGTAGATAAATCAACTAATGTTCTAGGGTGTTGTTGAAAGGGGGTGGGGTTGATTGAAAAATAGACTGATTACCATATTTTTATCTTGTAGCTGGATTTTATTTGTTTTTTTACACAGGAATAAGAACCTATTTAAGAACCTAGATAGCCTAAAATTGTGTTAACTACCATTTAAACAAGAACCTGTTTAGGCGAACTCTAAAAACGTAGGTTTTTACTCGCCGGGTTTTTACTGTATCAAGAATTATACAATGAGAGAAAAGGAGAAGAGAGAGAGACGAAGGCATGCTGGTAGCTAAATTAATCTTTGAAAAGCGGGTAAATAAGAAACGTTATTTCCATGTAATACAAGGACATTTATTCTAGCGGGCTTTTGAATATCAAGATGAGCTGGGAATTATTCTTGAAGAACAGCTGCCGTTTTTCCTCAAGGACCGTAATAATTGTATAACAGCACATCTAATTTCTAAGTTCTTCAAGCAATATATCAATGGATTCAGCAAAGAACTCATAGCAAACAAGAGTTCACTCAACACAAAGAATCCTGTGTTTTGAACTGTGAATTCTCCTTGGACAACAATGTCGACTAAAACTACTCCCATTGGTAGATAACATACTAAAGATACCCCGATCACATAGGCCATTGTAACAGCTAGTTTCCTCTGTCTCGCGTTGTTGGTGTCACCAACAAATTGTTGAGCATTTATCTGGTGGTGATGGCGGCGAACGAGCTTGAAGATTCGAGTGTATGTACCAGATATAAATAACAAACCAAGCGTCAGGAGGATGCTTCCTATACTGTATCTTAAGGCTTTAGCGGTAGTCCCCATGAAGACTAGACTACTCAAAAGTAAGGATGTCATCCCAATAAGAGTGACGACTAGCAGTAATMTTTTTGTAGTAATGATAAACGTGTGTCTCAGTGGATAGAATAGAGCAAGGTATCTCTCACAGCTTATGGCTACCATTGTCAAGAAAGACGCGGTGCAAAACACCCATCCTTTGAAAGACCTCAAAACAACCAACACACAGAAGTACTTTGTGTTTAACGCGAGAGACCCGGCGGCGAAGAGCGGTAGATACAAAAGTCCAACCAATGTATCGATACCTGATAGCCAACAAATGAGAAGATTTGCTGGGGAACGCAAAGCAGGTCGACGAAGAATCGCCCAAAATATTACTCCGTTACTGCCCGAAATAACAGGTGTTAGGATAATGGCTGTTACTGACAGCACAAGAGGCTTGATAACATGTTTGTTGTCGTGGAAATATTTGAAACCAAGACGCTGTCCTTCCTTCAGATATGCACAGTACTCAAAAGATCCGTTATTTAACATATTTGAGCCAAAGTACTCATTCCAAATGTATAAACAGTTATCTGAAATGCTTGTCGAGTGAACTACGACACCATAGCAACCCGTTGTCAGTAGAATTGTACTGAAATATGGCTTGACAAACAGCAGAAGTGTCAGGAGTTATTGAAAAGATGCAGAGAAATTAAAGCAGATCAAAACGAGCCAATGCTTGTTCGCAGTCCTCCGTCAAGTAATCTGTTACCATGAAGAAAGACCACCAAAGGATTCGAATAATAGATATCAATAACCTAAAAAGTCAACGGCCAATGGGAAGAAAGTAAAGTAATAGAGCTGGTTTAAGACACACGACAGAGACTCCAGGAAAATTGGCATCGGGATTATCGCATGAGCAAATTTATTAAACACACAAAGCGCTTCTTGTTAATTGAAAGAAAGCGCGCGAGCATATATAATATCTAACGTTAACTCTATATATTTTAGGGCACTAGGGCGAGAAAAATATTGTTCAGGTAAAATTGAATGAGTACTAAAAACTAAGATGAAATTTAAAGGCAGTTAGTTGGTTAGGATCCGTGGAACTATTCGATTTTTATAGTCTCTTCTGGAGGAGTCAAGGAGTCAATATGAGTTCGTCGTTAGACAGTTACATCACTCACTCGACTTAACACCTGCTCTTTTACGTCATCTTTTGGGATTCATGAGAGCGTTCAAGATCATTTGCTTTAGCTTCAGAAAATAATACAAATAAATAATAATATTTAGACCATAAATCCGCAATGGATTCACAAAGAAAATGTTGATATTTGCAAATCACATCGGTTATAAATAATATAATCCTTTGGCGTTTTTATCGCTTAAATAACAATCTAAGATAACAATATCAGATATAAATATATTGCTTTTCGCTTTCACATCGAATGAGCGTGTATATTGATTGACCTAGTCACTGATAGTCGCGGGGGGGTACTCCCATATATGAACTATACGGGGATGATCCGCTGAACAGGGTATGGTTTTTCGAGCTTCTTGTCATAAACAGGGTATGCATTTTCACTGAAGGTCCAAATTCTTCCTGAGTTTCTTGTCATATTCAGGATTTCTACTTTCGYATTGACCTGATGACATGATAATTGAAATAGGAACTCAGTGCAATTAATTATATCTTTTGTCATAAACGCAGAGTCTACGAATTTGATTTTTTTTGTCATAAACAAGGTACCCCTTTCAGAATCCCAGCGGAACACCCCTACCCAAATTCTGGCGGAGTACCCCCCCGGGCTGATAGTAGTTTACGTTTATCATATTATGTGTGATTTATATAGCACCCTTTCTATAAACGTTTTGACTTTGCAATTCATCATTATCCTTTATGTCTGTGTGGCACGTAGGGCTGGTAAGACCAAGGAATCAAGGACTTTGTTACTAAGGATTTATTATTAGATCTTACTACAATAAGAAGAAGAGTGCGCTAAGTTAAAAATTATAAATAGTTTATTAACAACTTATTAATCTTAATTAATTTTAGGTACAATAACGATAATTAAAACCCGGGGTGTACTTAAGCTTAGTATAATTAATTAAGCTAATTTAGAAACCTTTTTTACAGATTGACTGATAATATTTACGAGGGCTGATCCAGATTATTACAATGAGGTGAAAAGTGTGCTTAGTTAAAAATTATAAAAAGTATTGCAATGATTTGAAAAAAAAGTGACGATATAGTGACGTCATCAATAATTCTTTGATCTGACTTGTTTGATTAGTTCTTGGATTTATTTTTTAGATTTAATGTTATGCAATTTCATCTTGATTCGGACTAAAGACCCGAGAAAGAGTACTCATAAAAAAGGTAAGATTTATATATGTACCAATAAAATAAGAATAATAAATACAAGGGCGGATCCAGGGGGGTGCAAAGGGGGGCAAGCCCCCCTTCAGCAGAAAAACAAAACAAAACAAAACTGAAGGATTAGATGCTTTTTTTTATTGTTTTCTGGTGTCTTGAAGGAAGAAACTCAATTAGCCCCCCCCCCCCCCTCCTAAAATTTTGGCTGGATCCGCCCTTGAAATAAATAATAATAATAATTACAAAAAAAAAAAAGGAAAAAAAAAAAAAAGCCCAGGCGTCTTGGCGGGGGTCATTCGGTACACCTAGAAACACCCCCCGGATCCGCCCCTGTTTCCTGATCTTACCGTGGAAGCACAGGCTACCCAGGCTATTATTCTGTGACTTAAAAGACAGCGATATTTTTACAAAGTTTACAAATTTCTTCTTTTAGCTTTAAAAGCTTGATAAATGTTTACAAACCTCTATGTATCCGCTGGGAGTTGAGTCGAAACTTTTTCTCCCTCGTATCAAACATTGTCCAATTTGTGGAAGTAATCACAGTTATGAACATACAACATACTCTCATAGTATTTTCTGCTATCAAGGAAAAGAAACGAAGTAAATCAGCAATCATAAGTAGTATTTTATTTTTGATTATTCGGCTTTTGTGGAAAATTCTAATATTTGACCTTGTTCCATATGTCTCTAAATAACTGCACTACAGCACCTCGGATTTCTTGGTTTCTAAAACAATAGATCAATGGATTCAGCAAAGAACTCAATGAAAATAACAAAGGACTGATGCGGATGAGTCTTTCCGTGTCTTGCAATAAATCACCTTCCAAAGCAATTTTCAAGAGAAAAATCAGTGCTGGCAAGTAGCAAAGAAATGAAACGACCGTCACATATGCCATTGTAATAGCTAGTTTTCTATTCCTCGCGTTGTTGGTRTCCCCAATCTGTTGAGCATTTATCTGGTGGTGATGACGGCGAACGAGCTGGAAGATTCGAGTGTAAGTGAACACTATGATGACGAGCCCTGATATTAAAAATACACCACAGATAGCGTACCGAACTACCAAGGTGGAGTACAGGGAAGGGATGAAGACTGGAATCCCGTTAGAAATGGATACTATCCATATAATTACTTGGACTAGTGTTACTCTCTTCGTGGTTACGATGGAGGGGTATCTTAAGTGGTAAAAGAGAGCGATGTATCTCTCGCAACTCACTGACACCATCGTTAAAAAAGACGCAGCATTCACTATCCACCCAAGCGAATACGCCAAAGCAAAGAGCAGACAGGTTTGTGCAAAAGCAAGAGAGGCAAAAATAGGTAGGAATAGGAATCCTTGCAGAAAATCTACCAAAGACAACCAACAAATGAGAAGATTTGCAGGAGTACGTAAAGCAGACCGACGAAGAATTCCTACCAAGACGACACCATTCGCACTAGAAATAACGAACGCGAGAATGATGGCAATAACTTCATCAATGGAGTAGAAGTCATCATCGTCTCCTCCAAAATAATCCACAACCCGAGCAAGGTTGACTGACATGCCTGCGCACATCGAACTATTCGTGGAGTTTGGTTTCATGATCTCACAGTGTAACAGTTTTCGCGATGTAACTTATGTCGCTTCTACAAATTAGACACTTTGATGTAGCATTTTCAGGAAGCGGAGATAAACAATTTCGACATCTGCTCTAAGTTTTTTGGGGCGGGGAGTTTTTTTTTTTTAAATATTTTTCTCGGCATGTTCTCTTAATATATCAATAGAGCGAACAYCTGAACGATGGAAAATTGATATTTTTTAAAGATTCTTTTGTTCTTTGTTACATTCACTTACCCTAATTAGAAGGATAATTTTGATGTTGGATATTAAGCAGTTTTAAATGATTATATTTTGTGTGATTTGATTGGCGATATTCTAATGTCGTAACAGACACCATGCTGACAAGATAAATTGCTTTTTTGACCCCACTTTAAAATGATTATCCTTTTGGGTATAATAGGAGCACAAGTTTTACCCAAACACATTTAATTACATAATCATCAATTTATTAGTTATTCTAGGAAAGGAAAGGCCATGAGAGGAGAGGAGAGGAGAGGAGAGGAGAGGAGAGGAGAGGAGAGGAGAGAAGAGGAGATGAGGTGAGGGGTATAATGACTATTAACCCGGCAAATAGAGCAATTAAAGTCTTGTGTTTTTTTTTACCATCATTTATATTTCACTATATAACATTTCTTTAGGTCATCGTCAAGAAATGAATGCTGGTAAACCCAAGGATCAGTTTCTTTAGATCTGGTTATTCAGAAACAACACTATCTCACTTTCAGACAGTGCGTCTACTGGTATTATTTCTAGTTGGTAACCGAAATCAAAGAAGACTCAAGGACAAAGGAAGAAATTCATCTGGAATAAAACTTTACGTCGGATAAAGCGAATGCCACCATTTGAGCACGCGCACATCTTGAACAGGATCCAAAATTACTTGATATCCACTCTCTGGCCGATATCGTTTGTCTTTCCGATGACTGTGAAACATAAGTTTGACACGACAATGCTTCATACCTTGGCTAACGCCCACTAATGCTTCAGTCAAAACCATTCCAATGACAGGTTGAAAAGATATAAAATTAAGGCAACTTACAGCAAGTACAATAAAACCATCATTAGGATTATCCCGAAGAAAATCAACTGTATTGAGCCACTTTTTACTAAAACGTCTCGGATTTGTGTGTGAACCTCTTGTTTTCTCACTAGAAAGTTTGAAATAAAACATCCATATCTTAGTGTCTTTTTTTATTTTTTGATGAAACCAGACTGATGAGCACCAGTGAAACAGTAAGGCATCCATACAAGAGCTGACTCCTGTTACGGTTACGAGTCTACTTTTCAACTCCCCATACTGGTGAAATAGTGCCTGAACCGCACGTGTTCGTAACCCTGTGCCACAGTCGATTCGAATTGGCTGCAAATGTTCTGGAAGTTTCTCCGTTTTTAAATGTCCATAACATAACTAATGTCCATGCAAAGTTTCAGGTAAAGTTATTGGCAAAATTTCTTAAAATTCCTTAAATAGACCGCTCGATAAGAGGGTCTTATGTGTGATTTACACGCTGGATTTACACGCTCCCTTAAAGAAGAAGCAAATAAGATCTGACCAATTACCATGGATAACGCCTGAAATATCGCGTGAGATATCTCGTCGCAATCGTCTTTTTAAACAACACAAGAAAAATCCAACAGTCAACTCCTGGGAGTTGTATCGTAAACAACGGAATAAAGTTAGATCTCTCAAACGTAAA